TTAGCATAAGATTCAAAAATCTCTTACTTTTTAAAATTTTGTATCAAGTATCAAGTTAAAATCAAACAAAAAAGATAAAATGAATGGAGTATTATTTATAAAAGAAAATCATTTTTTATTAAAAAAGAAAGAAATAACTCCCTACATAAAAAATAATTTTAAATAGACTAAGAATTATACATCTTATAAAATTAGAGAAATTACACTTAATATGAAATATAATTAAAAGATTATTACGGTAAATTTAATATCATTTAGTTTTTGTCAGCCCTTTACCCTCCTTATGAATTTCTAGATTCGAAATCTAATAAAATTGTCTTCAGCAATATTTGACGAATGAAACTGCATATTTCGAATTGTAAAGGAATTATCTCATTAATCTTAATGAACTTCTACTGATAAAATTTTTATTGGCAATCAAATTTCATAACTTTGTCGATAAATAATATTTTCGAAAGTCAAGCAAAGAGTAAGCAAGATTTCATCAGCAAACTAATCAATGAAATTCGTATTCGTGAGGTTTGTATCCTATTCTTGTAATGTATCAATAAGTTGAAAAAATCTATCACACATCGGAATTTTTTCTTTGCTCAATTGAAAGACTCAACATTCAACAATTTATAATCTCCTTTTTTATCAATCCTTTTCATATATATATATATATATGAAGGTAGTCTTTTTTTATTCAAAGTTATATCTGTTAGACAGTATGAACTTCTACCCTTGTAATTTTAGTTTTGCTTCTTACCTTTGACTTTAAAAACTCAGACATACTAACTAGTTTGATACCACGATAAACTTGGGTGAAAATACTTTTATAATGGACTTATGACCGTTGATGAGCCAAGGGCTAAATTCTTTTTGTTGATAGTTAAAAAAAAACCTTTAAGATAAAGACTTAATTTCCTTTTTTTTAATACTAACTTTATTGATATGAAATTTGATTAATAAAAATAAAGAAAATTTTCTAGACTTATCCTCCAAAATAAAATATTTATGTAACTATAAATCATTTAATTAAAAATAAATGAGTCATTTAAAACTAAATTGTTACTAAATAGTCATAACCTCTCTTGACGAGTTAAAAAAAAAAGACATTTCATTGAATACCATACGCTCAAGAAACAATAACAAATCTCGTTTTTTCACTAACATTTTTTTTTGTATGAAAGAAAAAAGGGCAACTTTCACATATAGCAAACATAAAATTCATATTTGTATGCTATAGCAAAGTTTGCATAATTGCACTCCATAGCAAACATATAAATGTATAATTCGTTATACATATACAATTAAAGCGAATTGTATAAAATGAAGTGTATAAAACGAGAAAGAGAAAGAGACTTGGGCAGAGAATTGTATAAAACGAAGTGTATAAGATGAATTGTATGTGTAATTATAAGTGTATATAACAATTATATGCAATTTGAATTTGTATAAAATGAGGAAGAGAGAGACAAAAGAGATTTGGGCAGGAAATATACAATTGAATCGAATTGTATAAAACGAAAAAGAGATAAACTATATATAATTTAAATTTGTATAAAACAAGAAAGAGAGAAAGGCAAAAGATAACAAATAATATATGTATTTATACAATTTTCTCTCGCTTTATATAAACACAAACACATTTTTTACATTTGTATTTGTATAAGGATATATAATTATTTAAGAAAAATAGAATTTGGAGAGAGATTTTAGGAAAAATTGAAAGAAATTGGATGAGTAAAAATAACTAACAGATTTGTATTAAGATAGAGAGTGGGAGAGAAAAGATAGGGAATGAATTTGAATAAAAATGAATCTTCTGCTTGATGAGTGGGTCCGAACCAAATGACAAAATTTGTGCAAATTTGCTACGGAGTACAAATGTTTCAAACAGTAGCTATAGGATTTATTTTAATTTAAATGTTTGCTATGATGTACAATTTTCCCAAGAAAAAATATGTGCTTTTTGTGGAGGCAATTGTATATATTTTATTTTGAAAAAACAAATACACATAATAGTTTGATATTTATTAGTGAGGGCAATTGAGTCTTTACTACTAGGTGGAACATTTACAAATTCTTAATCGATATATAGTTTGAGAAGAATTCAGGATAATTGGTGCTTTCCAATAATTGAGTCAATTAATGGAAGTGTGCCTATGGATAGAAAAAGGAATATATATTCTTAACATTTATTTATTCATTTAGAGAAAGGTTGAAAATGTAGAGTGTGGAGAGCCACAAGGGGAAGAGAGGCATTGAGAGAGATTGTTTGTAAGACGTTCCACACTAGTGGTTTGCTGTCAATCCAAAAAACAAAAAAACACCCTTACCATATATACAATTGACTCATAATCACCCCCATAATCATACATATATATATATGTATATATATAATATGATATATTACAAAGTAACGTTTTTGGTTGAAGAAAAAAAGCTAGGAAGTGTAACTAATCTTTAGAAGATTGGAATATTTGAAGGCTTAAGGTTTGGATTTCTCAACTTCTTTAATTATTACATAAAGGTCAAAACTACGTATCTTTATGATCTATGATCAACCAATATATATACATACAATTCTGTATTCTCAAGAAAATGATCATATGAGTATTTAGTGTATTTTTGCATTACTGTTTTTCACGTTCATTTTCAGATTGTATATCAATTCCATGGAATTTTCTAGGTGTAGTTTGAAGTCTTTGTATGAAATTCGAAAGTTGTTGCAATAGAGGAAAATTTCAAAAAATTACTGATGCAGGCAGCCATGTAACAATCAAATAGATATTATTAAACATTTTTCAACCATACCTGCTTCCTTCTTTGTAGTTCAATCCATGATGTTTTCTTTGTAGAATAACCTGTGCAAAACATTTTCAAATTAATTTGCTACTTTAACAATAGCATTGTGTTGTTTAAGATGCTGAGCTTTACTAGTCTTGTCTGTTTTTACAGGAAGAGAAATGATTAGGAAGATAAAGCGAGCAGTTGCCTTGAGGGCTTTCTTTATTGGAGGAATTGCTGCATTTTCCAAAATCAGTAGTGCTGTTAAAGCTGTTGGAGGTGTAAAAGTAGGCGTAGCTACTGCTGCGATGAGCGCTGCAGCAACTGCCATTTCAGGATCAGTAGAGAAGCGAAAATAGCTTCTCAACACTCTTCATAATGATGCTCTCTACCAAGAATGGTGTAGAGCTTTTGATCTTTTTTTTTTTCAATCCAATATAATGTATTTTTAAGTTATAGGGGTTTCTCTAACTGATCAAGTAGGTTATGCAGTTGAGTCGTGGCTCTACTTCCTGTACAAATGAATGTAGGAAGTTATTAAAGCTTTATGTCCTGAAAATGTAGATCTGGTTTACAAATAAAGAATATTTGTGGCTTTACTGGTTCAATAACTCAAGGTTGAAAACCTTAACCGACTTTTCAACATGAATGTCAAGAATCATTCATCAAACAATTTTAAATAAAGCAAAGGTGATCAACAAAATAGAACAAGTAATTTCTAAAAGACGGAGAACTCAAACTGCTTCGATCAATATGTTTAACTCAAACTAGTGAATATATTCAACATCATCTCAACTAATTGAGCTCTTCAACATCTCTACCAACATTTCAGGAGGAGAAAGTTTTATGTTTCTTCCCTCGGGGTTCTATGATCTCTTCAACATCATCTCAAGGAATTTACTATAAATATTACCGAGTGTGAAGCGCCCAATGGTGTTTGCTTAAAAAATGCACCTTTCCATTGTTCTCAGTACACATTCATCGTGTTGTTTAGTAACCAATGCACGGGAACAGTATTCAGATAATAAGATGAAGATAATCAAACATTCCAGATTTGGCTAAGTCATGATGATGTCAGATTTGATGCACTCGTGAATTTGCGGAAGAACCACATGTGAAATCTGGATGGTCAACTGAGGCCACAAACAACTCAGCATTCGGAGCCTCTAATTCGAGAATAACCTAAATGTAAGACGAGAAATGTAATTGCATGAGAACTAGTGGAGGTCTATTCATCTTAAAACATCTACATATTAGAGGAGCCTGAAAAAATTAGTGCACCTAGAAAAATATTAATGTGGGACAATAAAGCAGGTTCAATTTGGAAATTCAATTGATTCTCGAAAAAATAAAGATCCAGGAATTTGCTAATATTTTTTCATCGGATTCCAGTGTCACCTTTAATCGGAGAGAGAGAAGAAAAGCAAGATGAGTTCCAGTAATTCTTAATGACATACCACGAGATTTTTTCCTTCTTGCAGGATTGGAGCAGGAACATAAAGGTTGCACTGGGGTCCAAAGGACTGCAATAGAGACAAACAGAATATTCCAGTTTGAAAAATGAATTAATTTCAGGATTTTATTATCTGACCACTAAAAGAAATATTTATGAAACTAAAAATAGAAAAGTTACCGGCCAAAACCTTCCTAAATTAAATCCATTGATAAATACAACCCCTTTACTCCAGCCACGAAAAGACAAAAAAGTGTCTTTTACTTCATCAACTGTAAGATGACCAATGTAGAAAGCTGGCACTGGATGATAATCTGCAAAAGAATGAATACTGTCACTATCCACCATTCTCTCGCACTGTGCTGAATCTTAAACAGTATGAGAACTTGAAACTTCTACCATTCACCAACATTTTTAACTAATAATTCCAGACTTACTTCTTTTGTTTTTAAGTTTTATCTGCACAGATTCTCTAAGGTCGGTGTATGCATCTGAAATAACAGAATTATTCTTTTGATCCTCATTTAGGTTGTGAAAAGGAATCGGCAACATTTTCCACTTCTGCAACGGTTTACCATCTAAATAAACAGGAGAGAGTATACCCTGCAAATCAAGTTCAAAATTTTATACCTTTAAGATTATGAGGAAGAAGTCAGAAAAAAGAAGCGGGAAAAAATAGAAAGGCAAAGGCAACTTGACAAAACTAAAAAAATGAAAGGAAGATGTGCTGAACAGCTGAAGTATATTAACTGTACCTATAGTGGAAATGCAAAAGGTTACATTACTCTTGTAAAGAATTATTTAGATGTGAGTGTAGGCATCTCCACTGGATTTGGTCAAATTACATTAGGTTCTTTGTTTACACCTACGTCCAAGATCTCTTCAACAAGTTTAGCTGATTGGGTATTCGAGTTGAGTTAAATACAGAGACACCAAATATTACACTATAAATACTTGGAATTAAACGAGATAATTTATGAATAAAAGATTACAAAGAATTTATACGAGCTTTAATTTAATAATGTCAATTAATTTCCAAAAACATATGTTTATACAGTATATATGCAGTGATATACGTCTTAACACTCATACTCATGGCCCTATCCATATCCCCAAATCTTAAGATTTAGGCTATCACAAATCCAACTTTGAGATCGGCATTGCGGGGTTCTCACATCCATACCCGAACAACATAGATTTTGTTACAGTTGATTATTTTTAATGAAAAATAGAGTTGAATTATTTTCTATCTTTCAAGGCCTTTGTGCTGAAATTTGTAATCAATTTGCTATTTATATTAAGAAAAGTATTCAGATGATAATGCACCCGATTGTTATTCAGCACCTAGCTCATCTTCTATGTCCTTCCAGTGGTATTTTGTATCTATCATCTTGTGCATATACTTCTCAACAAAGCAAAGAACCGGATATTGAAACAGTTTGTACTTCACTTATTCATTTAATGTTGTACATGCTACAAATGTTCATCCTGGGAGTAAGGGGGATTCCACTGGTTGAGGGGTTAAGGGCTGTAAGCTCTATATAAAGTCGAGGATAATTCTCACCTCATGGACTTTCAGTGTTACGTCCACAATCCATTTTCTTCACATATAGAACAAAAAGAAAGTGTTCTCTTAACTCACTCGTGCAAAAGTTTTTAACATAAATCAAGCTTTTCTTAAGTAGCACAATTAGGTGATGCTTATATTTGATCATGCAGAACCGTGAATTCGAATCCAGCAAGACTTTAAGATCCATATTTTGTCTTTCTACCATAATCGGATCATTTTGCTTCATATTTCATTTATACAAATGTACAAATTTTAGAAAGTTTCCAGAATTCATGGGTAAAATGTGCCCCCAATACCTCAGATGACTATGGAAGTAAATGCAAACTATTCTGAACTAACCTTCTTGTCAAAAATGTATTTCCCATAATTTATACGCCCCATATTTTCCACCTGTAAAACAAGGGAATAACGAAGTAGTAGACAAAATGATCAGATGAGATTTGCCGTCATCATTCATTAGTAGCAAACTGAAATGTGAATAAATTACTGGAAATGGCAATTGCTTTAAAAAATGATACAGTTTGTTCATTTTCGCTTTTTCCTTTTTGGAGAAATGGTCCAGTTACAGAAATTAAGCAGTTGCTCCTTTTCATTGAAGTTCACTTACATGTATAGGTTGAACAGTTAAAGGTGTCTTTCCAAGTTACAGTAGCACAATGGACCATTTATCCTCTTCTCTTTTTTCTCATTCCCCATCTCCTACATCCATCCTCTACTTTCTCTTGTTTTCCTTTTTCATTATTTTTCGTCTCCCCTTCGGCTCTCTCTCCCCCCCCCCCCTCTTTAATCCATGATGCGGAATTTCTTTGTTCATCCACTCTCCTTTTCTATTCTTTATTTTTGCTTCACAACCACAACAGACGAGGAAAAACTGTAGAGCAAGCACGAAAAAAGGAGAAAAGAGATCAACAGGGAATTTGGGACAAAAAGATATTACCAAAGAAAAGGAAAGCTGCTGGGAGTAGGATCCATCTTAGTTATTTCTCTTAAAAGTGACCACAAAAAAAATGGAATTTTATGAAAATAGATCATTTTCCTTTATGTTTTTTCTGAAAAAATAAACAGGACACATTAGGGAACACGCCGAGGACACCAAGAAGGAGAAGGGAGCGATGAAGAAGGGACTTTCTTCTGTCAGCTACTTCGCTGAAAATTTAAGGAGAGCCGTGCCAAAGCTAGTTTTGAAGAGTTTAAGGGGGAAAATATAATTCAAGAAAAACATTCACTGAGAAAGGTGCTAGGATGAGGAATTTTCAGGCAGTGATACTTTTCTATGTGTGCTAGTCACCTCGAAAAGTACGATTACAAGAAGGAAGTAATTACAAAACTCCAAAGAAGTCCACTATCTATACATTATTCTTTACACCAAAAACATAGAGAGGTAATACAATTTTCTGTATGGAGTTTGATCTACTTTCAAAAATCCTTCCATTTCTCTCCTTCCATATATTCCACAATATGAATACTGGTACAGTCTTCCAAAACCTTTTTTTGACTTTTTCTCCCTATATCCTAATATTTCTTCACAACATGGAGATATAACAGCAGAAGAGCACCGGTTGGTATGAAAAGGTAATTCTTACATGTATACAAACAACATTCTTAGTGATCTTGTGGACTGTCATTGTTTTGTTTTGTTTTTAAATTTGGAGCAAACAAAGATTATTGTGTTACAGATTCTTGGATAATTTTCCGATAAGAACTCCTCTTACTAATTGCCCTTTTAATTGTATTACCCATTGTAAACCAATTTAATCTATTTTATTACAATCCTCTAAAAATGCAGCACTGGTTGCGGATCTGTGCTCTATTTTTCTGAAAGAATTTTCTTAAAATTTTATCAATATCAACAAAAATTCCATTTTTGTAATTTACAATACAGTCTATCTCCAGACGAGATCATAGCATAACTCAAAAGCCTAGTTAGAAATGAAGAACAGAGAGTACTATGTACCAGTATATAAATTCTGTTATCCGAAGTACATTGAGTATGAGGAAGCCTGATGGAAGTATTTGACCATCTAGCTACAGTGCCTACATATTCTGGATTTTCGTCATAGTTGTCTGAAGGGCATGAAATGAATACTTGCGCCCTGTCATGCACCTGCAAAATTATATTGAGTCATTCCTTTATAGTGTTGAGACAGTGAAAAAATAAATATAAAATACATATATAAAACTTCCTTTCCTTCTGAAAGAAAAAATTTACAAGCTAAGACCGAAACCCAAAGAGGCTAACACACACATTATCATATTACACGATGGACAAAGTGTATTGAACATATTATTCTATTGCATGGATATAGCTTCTTTGTAAGGGAGAAGAAATTCAGGTACTACCTGCACGAATGAGACACAAAAGGATAGCTCTGTTCTCATCAGTAAATCTCGGAAGTGGAAGTAGAAAAGAATACAGTTTGTTTAAGTGAAAACCATTTACCAGTACTAATAAAATGGACACTTTCAACCCAGCTCAAGAAAACACTTACATGAAAGAAGGCTTTCCAGTGATATAACAAAACCACTAACCTTTGGTATGAATAACAAACCTCCATTAGCTTTTGCTTTGTAATCAGAAACATAAAGCATGAAGCCAAACATCTGAACAAGCAAAAACATTGAAAGAGGTAAATTATATCCTACAGGCACTCAACAAACTCAGACCTATGAATAATGCATCCAATGACAGGAGTGTTTTATACCTGGTCCAAAGACTCCATTGCAAGTGGGTTTTCAGATTCAGTGACACCATCAAAGTATGTGGTATCAACTATGTTAAACAATGATTTAGTCTTCTGCAACTTAATAAGTCCATATGCTTTCTTTTCAGTATTGGAAGGAACTGAAGGAAGAGGAACTGCAGTATATTTAGCAATCACCCTTCGAAGAGCTGAAAGTTATAAATGATAAATAATTAGGTAGCTAACAGAAAATTTTCATTGAAGTGATGCTTTCTAGGCATAAGGGATACTTAGTTGGTGTCTACTTCAAATTAAAAAAAACAAAAGTTAAAGCTGCAATGAGCCCAAAAACTCTTCTTGGACCAGTTTACACAAACTTAGACTATTCCACTGAGTACTTGTTTCCTCCTACCATCACAAGTAGCTTAGGCGGATGGGAAGATTTTACTTAACATTTTTTGTCTATGTTAGGGTTTGAACGCCAGTATATATTGGTTCCATCCCACTTCATTGGCCACTACGCCGCACCCTTGGGTGCCAATGGACCCAAATATTCTAAACAGACATCAACTTCCTTTTTTTTCCTTGTTAGCTCTAAACAATGTTCTAAGAAATTTCTGCTTCAGACTGTATGAGTCTTCTCATAAGTGACATATGCAAGCCTGGTTGTTCTCTGTTGCAGTGTATGACAATAGGAACATATTGCATACTTCTCCTACAAATTCATAGTCTAACACGGAGAGATTCTTAATGTTTCTCCTATCCTACATTGGATGCTAAAAAAATACTTCTTTTTAAATTGTCTAGGCCCTTGGTTGTTATGCTATTAAGAGGAAACAATTGATGGATATAAAATAATTTGATCATTCGAGAGAACAAAGATAGTCATCATTCACTTTCCATGATAGTGTTTCTTCCTTCTAAGGGAAAAGAAAAAACAAAAGAACAGAAAAGAGAGTCCAAAACTGAAAAGTGAAAATCTCTTACACCCCTTTAATACTCTAATCTAGTAAAATTCAGTCATCCACCAGTGCAAAATCAATTCCATGGGAAGGGACAAGCGAAAACAAACAAAACATAAACTTCAAAAACACATTAGGCCAATTAGCAGTAAAGTAAAAGCTGGTAAAATACAATATACAGGTTGCTCCATGACCAAGGATTTAACCATTGGTACAATTTCAGAGAAATGTTCCCATAATAAGTTAAAAGATGACGAAGAAAAAAACTTTCTCAAGATAAATTAAAGCATGAGCACACGTATATATTCAGATTAGTACACCTTGATATTTTGGATTGTCTATATCTCCAGATTCTTTGATAGGTGCATCCTGAACAAGATGGTTTTCAGTTTGATTATGATAGAGCAACAAACTTTAACAGAAAAATATTGGGAACTTCCTCACATAATCATAGGATGTAAGATCAGGCTTGTAATCAGTCTCATCTGCACCAGTATTTGCACCACTATAGAACCCGAAATTTGTTCCACCATGTGCCATCTAGGAGAAGTATTAATTAGCTTGGTATCAAAAAATGGTATGTCACTATAGTAAAAGAAGAATTAGAAACTCACGTAGAGCACAGCTGATCCATTTTTTGACAAGATCCTTTCTAAGTAAGATGCTGTAACAGTTGCATCAGTATTTGCAATATGCTCTCCCCAGTGCGTGAGCCAACCAGTGTAGAACTCCCTAGAAACCAAACTTATCAACATCATTAGTAGCATCTGATGAGAGATAGAAAAGGAATAAACAAAAAGACACTAACGTTGAAAGCGGTGGTGATTTCCCTGGTGCATTGAACTCTTTCTGCAACTTAAAATTGGGCCATGGATCATCTCCCGTTGAAAAATCAACAGCTAATATTAAGAATCCATGATTATAACAGAGCCAGACAACCAACCAAGAAACTTCCAAAGAGAAAAATAGCACATTATGAAGGCAGACAAATTTTCTAAACTATATTACCAATCAAAGTATCCTTGCATAATTGTTTGAGGAGGCTACATAATATCCTACTTTTTTATCAATTTAATTATCAAATAGATATTATGACGTGCACAAGTCACGTTGATGAAATGGTAGCACCTTTACTTGGTTCGAATTGGTAAGTTCTACAGGTTGTTATTAGCTGCTACCTGAAAAGACAGAATCTCCAGGAATAGTCCCTTTGTTAAGATTTTCTCTTGAACCTCCATCGGTCGTATATCTGTTAACCATCAGGTAGTCAATATAATAAACTCCAGAACAAAAACAGAGGTAAGGTATAATATATTGAAACCAAGCAGTAAAAGATATTTCCTGTATCAAGCATGTTTGGGGAAGAAGTGACATTAAATTCAGGGAGAAATCAGACAGATACACACACACGCCACAACAACATACCCAGTTTAACCCCACAAGTGGTGTCTGGGGAGGGTAGCGTGTACACAGATACACACATGGAAAGAAAAAATTTGAAAGGCTAGCACCAAGCAACTTTATTACACTTCTGAGAAAGTTTAAGTCAAAAGAGAGGAAATAACCAAGATGAGTTGATTTTTGAATTTTTTGATTCCTAGTAAGTTGACCTTCTGTAATTGTAAATATATATTAATAGAAGCACCAGTTGGTGCTGATCAATATAATGTTATCTTTCTCACAAAAAAAGAAGAAGAGAGGAAACAACCAAGTGCATGACATAGACTTACAGAGTAACATCATCTCCAAGGTGTCCACGGGCTATCCTCACTAAGTGATGCAGGTAGTCCTTGTCATCTCCGTATGAACCAAATTCATTTTCTATCTGTCCCATTTTCACCATTCAGTGTAATCAACATCTATTGGCTTATACAAAAGCTGAAACATGGTGGAAAGCAAATCATGGAATGCCAAGTACTCCGTCATGTGATATAATTAAAGTACATACCCTTCATATCTCCTCTGTGGATTTTAATAATGAAACTTAAACCTATCATTTACTCATATTGTTACTCGACAATTAAGGTCCAATGTGACACATGAGTTTTTAAATCTACCACTAACTACGAAAAGCAACGAGGCTTCAGATATTAAGCAGAATACATGTTATATTTTAGCTCTGTAGGTTCCAACTTTGCCAAAACTATGTTTCATTATAGGAAACTAACATAATTCCAAGAGACTGTAAAAGGCATTCCATATCCATTTATGCTTGACTATTTACATATTCAGGCTCCAATGATCCTTGATCAATGTCATAGTGAGATATTTCGCTGGGCATATCATAGCAAATACAGATAACAGGTCATATTTGGTCAGAACTTACAGCGCCTAGCTTTACTGTTACATTTTGCTATAACATATCATCCTAGATGTGGAGTTGCATTTAACTGGATTAGTAGCTAGGTTATATTAAAGTCAGATTTATGAAGTTCAATTCACCTGAACCATTATAATAGGGCCGCCATTTTTGTAAGCATAAGAGACTATCTTCGGCAGCAAAATTCCCCACCATCTTTCAACCTGTATCAATATATAAGTATGTAAATATCACTAAAATGAGCAAATGAAGCCGAAAATGCAAAAAAGTTGCCATTTTGTTCTTTCCTTTTTTTAATTATAAGAAAGGTAAAGTGCAAGTGCATGGCCTAGTTTACGAGCTTACTAAATGCTGATGAAAAGCTACTCTATATTGATAGCTCTAAGGCCGCAAAAGCAATTATGGAAGTTGTATGGAGACACAATTGTACACTTCATCCCAACAAGAGTGTGAGCTCCTATACAGGCCTAATCTGGTCAGAATTTGACTTGTGTATGTGGGATTTTGAAACTCTTGTGCAGCATATAAGACCACAAAGAAATTCATAACCAACTAAATCAATTGAAATGAGTCGTATTAGAAAACTTACCAAATTAATGAAAGCAGGATCTGATGATCTAAGTCTTACAGCAGGTTCAATGGTAAGTAACCAAGCAGGGAAACCCCCAAAATCCCACTCTGCAGCAAGAAGTAAAAAATATTCCAGCATAAAACACATCATAAACATTTCCAAAAGATAAGCTCATGCAGCAAAATATGGAAAAAGTAAAACATAAAAAATCCAATAATTATCTTCTTATTTTCGTAAGTCATATGGACAAGCTTACTGAAGTTATACATGAGAACATGCACACATTTGATTAGAAAGTTCAGTAGAGATAAAAAAATTTTGAGGAAGGTAACATTTACTTCTATGTATCCACAGGTATACTACATCAAAGTGTAGTCCCCCTCCAAAAATTTACACTTACATCAGCCCTAGGATCTTCTAGTTACAACCAATCAATAACATTAGGAACATCTTCAGAATTTCCTATTTCTGCTTGCTTACACCAAAAATTATGAAGACCTAGGCAGTTTATCTTTATCTTCTAATTATTGTTGTTTTTTCCTTCAAAACATCTCTGATTCCTTTAATTCCAAATTGTCCACCAAATGCATGCCGGGACAATCCTTCATCTCTCGTCTTTTTTCCTGCATTTCCACCATATTCCATCATTTCAGAACTTCTGTGATTCTCCCGGGTTTTGTCCACTCGATCTTCTTCTTGTGAATGAACATCTGCATAATTGATCTGTCCATTTGCAGTGTAAAAAGAGATGGTTGACTGTCTCCACCTGTTCTTTGCATAAATAACATCTAGTGCAAAGGTTGTGTTTCCTCTTGTTCAGGTTTCATGTGTCAAGATTTCCTCCTTTGCCAAAAGCCATGTGAAATAATTCACCTTGTATGGGATTTTTGTTCTTGTAATAGCTAATAAACAAAGACAGACATGAAGCCAATTCACCTGTAGAATGAAGTAGGTACGATATGGTTTTGATGTCCATCCATACAAAAATTAATTTCTCCTTGAACCTTTTGCCCGTAAGTAGTATCTCCATAAGCCTTTTATTAGAAATATTGAGGCCCTTGACAGATTATAGAATCCTTTCAGGAAGCTCTAGAGTTTATCTTTTCCTCATCCAGATTTCTTTCAATTTGTGAAGGCGTACAGCAGAATTTTGCTACTTAGTTAAAGATACTTGTAAATTTTGAGCCTTGCATAGTTTTTTCCTGGGTAATTGTATAGAAAATGGTAAAAGAACTCTCTACACCTACTGTGGCAGTATATAAACACAGATTTTACACTTCCCTAAACTCCAAAAGAACTCACACTCTACGAACTAACATTGACAAAGAGAGATTTTACCGGTTCCCTATACTCAAAAGAGTTTAACAATACGAACTTATATAGACTTGCTGAGATATTCACTCTTACACAGAGAAGAGGTTTATTTTTTCCGAATGAACTTTATGGATCTCAGTCCTTCATCCAACATTTCACAAGTGAAACAACTTACAGCTACTACAATTATAATTTATCAGAACTGAGGTTATATTCAATTAGATGATGAGGTATGAAATTTTTATTCACGAGACTAGATATCTTCAAAGTTGTTGAAGTCGTCGCTAACCTGCACAAATATAAGGCCCAACTCGGAGCATCACCAGGAGATCCAATTTCTGACATAGATTGAGGAATGAAAAGATATCTGCTATTCCTGTAAAAACAAGTTGACCTTCCCTTGGTTCGTGCAAATTCCATGGGACATATGTTTGAATGGTATTCAAGCCTAATGCCTTTGCTCTCAGGAGTCGATCTTCCCAGTACTAAAGCGAGTATTTATACATCAATATGTCAATTCAAATTGATATTACCAAGCTACAAAATAGAACATAACTTACAGATAAAAGAAACAAGATCAAAAAAGAAACTTCATTTGTCAGCTTTCACCACTCTTTGAAGGACTTAAAAGTGGAAGTTTGACTTTCAACTTAATGTACGCCCATGAACTATCACTACAAGTTCTGTCAACATGTTTGATGAACAACAACAGAAGCAACTCAGAAAGGCATATATGGTGTTGTTTTCATAGGTAACTTGCACTACACTATAACGGATTTCAAAGAACATCTAAATGGAAAGAACATAATTCCTTTTAGATGAGACAACTTTTCAAATTTCACGTAAGAGAAATTCTGTCATGACTGTCATCGTGGCATCTACTCCCTCTGCTTCAATTTATGTGGCAGAGTTTCACATGGCATGGAGTTTAAGAAAGACGGGTTTTGACATTTGTGGTCTAAAATAAGCCTAGACATCTGTGTGACTATAAATCATCTCATTAAGGGTAAACTAAGAATATTTTTTCCAAATAAGGAAATATGGTATTCTTTTGGGACACATTAAGGAGGAAGGTATGCCACATAAATTGGAACAAAGAGACTATATGATTAATGCAGAATCTGCACCAAATGAAATTATTTACTCGAGATAAATTACTTCAGTACTAGTGTTACCTTTCAATCATCATTTTCCTAACATAAAGTTCATCAAGAGCATATGAAGTTAGCTATCAATTAAGTCTCGTTCGCTTCGAAGGAGCACTCTATCTTTTACATCTGTGTGTGCGCACGTGTTTCAACAAGATTATACACTATGATCAGAAGCATTCAGCTATGAATACAAAACTCATGGATTATAGTACCTCTGGAAGAACCCGAAAATAGTGCAAGTCCCCGCCAATGATCTGAAAAGGCTTCCCATCTTTCCAGAACATATCATCCGCAATCTCAAATTTGTTCTTATCACCCTGCCAATTTAAAGAAGCATGCAGCTCCTGAATGAGCGTTCTAGCATAATATACAAATGAAGTAATCAGCTATACCTCAATCCTAAACTATACTCCATACAGACCTTGCATCCTTTTTACTCTTGAAATTCATCATAATTAGACTATTTTTATACTGGTCATTACCTACTTCAATACACTGAATATACAAATTTAAGTACAATTGATCAATCAGCTACACCTCAATCCTAAACTAGTCCAGATAGACCTTGTATCCATTCTGCTCTACGAAAAAACATCAGAATTAGACTGTTTTTTGCTTTTCCTTAACCTAAATATACAAACTAAGAGCAATTGATCAATCAGCTACACGCCTACAGCTCAATCCTAAACTACTCCAGACAGAACTCGTATCTTTCTGCTCAATAAAATTCATCAGAATCAGACTATTTTTATGCTGATCCTTAACCTACTATACACTGAATAATCCAAATTAACTCAAACAAAAATTACTACTCCTAATAAGTCTATTCAAGTTCACACTGTAGATGATCAAACTTTCAACCAAAAGTAGTGCTACTCTTCTCTAACTTTTCTTACAAACTAGAATTAGGTTTTTAACAAAGCAGGAAATTTCACAATCATACCATAGAATTAAGTCTAGCGATGTCGGAACGGGAAGAAAAAGATGATAGAGAAGGAAGCGGAGCAAAGGCAGGTGCGAAAGCTCCGAATACTAAGAGAGCTAAAAGGAGCATGAAGATCGTCGTTCCGACGCGTCGTTTTTTCGCCATTGCCGCTGCTCGGAATCTCAATCCCACTGCTCGGAAACTGGAAATGCCGTTTTTCTTCAGTGTTGTAGTCATCGTAAGTTAAAGAGTCATCGCTGATTCCGTGCGTTAGGTAAGAAGGAATGATTTATGATTCAATGGTCAACGTAACAGTTGACTAGTGTATTTCCCTCTATTCTATTTTTTTTTTAGTTTATCCAAAATAAATTAATTTTTATATTTGATATGATAATTAAAATTACACAAAGATTTATAAATCATTTTATATTCTTAAAGTTTTAAATTTTTATTTTTAAGAAAAGTTATATTATATTAAGATGGAAGAAGTAATTAAAAAATCGAGATAATTTGTCACAAAAGTAACATAATTGGTACTATATTTGTAGGTTAATTTAAACTTTCTCCTGTTCAAAATAATTGAATTTATATGCCTTTTCTCAATGTTCAAAGTAAGTTAATTGTTTAATGTTTAAGAAAATTGTTTGAATTTTCTTCTATTTTTGTCTTCAATTATATATTTTAGATGATTTATTTGGGAGAGTTAATTATTCATAATTATGATTTTATATTTTTTATTTTATGAATAATTTGAAAATAACTAAAAGAACAAAAATGGAAATCAATATTCATTTTATTAGAATTTTTCTCAAAAACTTACCGGTACCATCACACCGAGATAAAAGATGGTATCATTTAATAAATTTATGCATGATATTTTTTAAAATAATTTTTTGAAAAAGAAAAAAGTAAAATTATTCATGTAACCTTGTTTGATCTTACATTTCACTTTGAGATGTATAAGTTTGATTTCAACAAACAATTCATTAAAGCTTATGAATATTTTAATAGGTGTGCTACAAATTTAATGAATATAAACCCGATGGAATAGTTATTAGCACTGAATAACTTTATAAAGTGTAATAATTTTCACCTAATTTGAACTTTGAAATATATGAACAGAAGTGTGTCATACATATTTTCATAAACATAAATGTAAGGTCACTTTTCTTTACCTTGTTACATAAAAATCATTTTACTTTGCTTTGACTATCATAAAATCACCCATAAAAATCATTTTATTTTATTTAGACTATCATAAAAATCACTCCCGCCAAATTTTATTGCATTGAATTAGGGTTGTGTATCGGTTGGTTCGGTTCGATTTTGAAGTTTATCGTTTGGCTTATTAGTTATCGGTTTGTAGAGATGTTAAACTGTTATAGAACCATTAAGATATTGAATTATCGATTATTGATTTATCGGTTTTGATCTTATCGGTTCGGTTGTCGATTTAATTCATTAAGATTTGACACAAAAGAAAAAATATTGAAGTAACTTAATTAGATACAAGGTGACAAACCAAATAAATTATGCACTTGAGTTCACAAAGTTACATCTTGCTCAAAAGCAAACACTTTTATATTATAACATAACCAAGTTTTTGAGACAACCAAAAATAAAAGTAGGAAATCAAAATGGTATAAGTATAATCATTTAATTTACTATTGGGTATTGGTTAACCCGTTAAGAAAAACCTTCAAACGGTTAAGAACCGATAACCCGATAACAAAAAAATCAAAATCGTTATCAAAATCACTAAATCAATAACGCAACACTATAAACCAATAACTTTTTTATCGATTTGACTTTTCAATTTTGAACAGCCCTACATTGAATTAATTAAATAGGATTAACATATTAACTCAACATTCTTTAATAAAAATTTAAATATTTAAAAATTATAAAAAAAAAAGTAGTATTCCTTAACTATATCAATTTCATAAAAAATAATATATTTCAAAATATTCGCAACTTGAACATCCATAGATGACAATGAACTCACCAACTAGCTATTCCATCTATAAAACTTAAAAAACGTGTTATAACACACATAAATAATAATAAAACTAAATAAAAATATAATATTAATGTATTGATTTCTATATGGTGAGGAGAGCATTGATTATCTGAACTTTCACCGAGTTCTACACGTACAATACATATATCAGTTTCTAGAGGTGTACAACTAAAAGAGATGATTGTAATTTTAACTTTGCCAAGTTTTATGATTTTTAAATTCAGTATTAACAAGAGCAGCAATGTTGAAAATGTCATCAGTGTGAGAGAGAGGTTTTAAACCCAAGAAATCTTTGGTTAATATATGATCCTCCTCATTCATACTTCCATTGAAGTAGAGTTGTTGATCTTCGTCCTCGTTCTCCTTTTTTGAATTCAAATTGTTGAATCCACCGAATAATATCGCATCTTCAAACATTGTTGACCCATCAAAGCCATTAGAAAAAGATGTCATGATGCCACTTATATTATTTGCAGGCCCAGTAATAGTGGTCAGGTCTTCACGTGAGGACAATTTCTGCTGAGTTTGTTTGGTAGCAGAATCAGTACTAGTAACAGACACGTGAGTATTGTGGGGTATTTTTGCTGTGCCTGTGTAAGCAGCAGTAGCAGTGACAGCACTTGCTTTGTTACTAATTGTAGCACCAAACTGGGCTGCTTTCTGCAGCAATGCAGTTGCAGAAATGTGTACTGGAGAGACCACACCTGATTCTCCCATTGAATCGTAACCTAATGTAGGTCCTGCTCATGTACAATACAAATTAAATTAAACAAATGAGAAAAAGTTTCAAATTATCTATCAACTTTATATTCAAAATGGACGAGTTCATCAAACCCTTCATTACCTCTGAGATTAGGGTTTGGGTTCTGATGATGAAGATTTAAATCTTTGTGGCTGCTTTGACTGTATTGTTGATCTAACCTAGTAGTAGCTGGAAAAATTGACGATGAGCTAAAATTACTGAGCGGTACTGAAGGACTAGGATTAATAGCTCCAAGCTGAAATGGTTGTGAATTCGTGGTAATTAGCCATGGAGGAATCTCAATATGTCTGAAATCGCTACTTTGCTGCTCTTTTTTCATGGGAAACGTAGCAGCTTGAATCTGTTCATGGCTATTAAAGTAGTGAGGCTGTTGAAACTGGAGATTCATTTGAGGTGAGAAAATTGTTGGATTTCGTTCATTTATTACTGATCTTGCGCTCTCCATAGCTAAAGTCTCGCAGAATGCTCTGTGTGTGATGAAACTATCTCGTCTGAAGAACGAAAAAAAAAAATCAATATCATTATCGAACTAAAAAAGAAAGCATGTCATATAAATTGAAACGAACAAATACTCGTTACTGTGTATAGATATAGATATATAATATGTTGAAAAGATAAATGGTCATTATAATAGTTGGTCTCCCCTTATTATTAATGGGAATGGGTGGAAATGTGATACTGATATCCTATTAATTATTGTTTAATGATTGATTGCACACCAAAGTAATCTCATTATTATCACTTTACACGCCTTTACACACCATAAAAGATGGAACTCAAAATTCAAAAAAGTAGAACAAAAAGAGAGTATGGTACCTACCACTTTTTATTATATGATTAGAGTCTAGAAATGTTTGTTTGTCTGATTAACTTGTTTTCGTGTTTATACTCTTATAGACAAAATAATGTTTTAGTAATTCTATCCTAAATATTGTATAAACTTATAATTTTAAATTCGCAATGGTTTACATACCTTGAGAAAATAGTACCACATTCACATTTGTATTCTCTAGTACCACAAGTCTTGAAGTGAGCTTTGCAATCAGATTGAACAGCATAACGCTTTGAACATTTCTCACATTTCCACTTCTTCTCACCATGTTTTCTGCTAAAATGCTTCTTAATTCCAGTAAGATCTCCTAATGCCCTAGACGGATCATGGTGCACACAGCTCGACTCTGGACAAATATACACTTTCTTCCTCACTACTTCTTTATTTTCTCTCTTCTTTAACTTCCATGGCAAATTGTGTCCTCTTCTATGGAGTTGTAGATTTTGATCTCTTTGAAACCCTTTGTTACAAATTTCACAAAAGAATCTGTTGGTTGCCACTAGTGTCTTGGGTGATAAAGCTATCACTTCTGCTTCTGGATCTATAAAAATCATTAAACGAGTTTAACTTCTATATACTTATCAATTGAAATTAAACATGTCACTATTAAAAGAGTTTAACTTCTATATATTTCCTGGTTGAAACATATGTATTAAACAAGTTTAACTTTTTGTGTACTTATAATCTAAAACAACATGTGATTGTGTGTATATATATATCCATAATAAGTGAAATTATAATAATTGAAAAATGTTAGAAATACAAATATATACGTTAAATCCTTTTAGACCCTGAGAAAGAATAAAAAAATTAAGTCATATACACAAATCAAGATTTAGAGTTTTTATGCATCATGTAATTATTATTACCTTACCTAATATATAACAGATAACTTGTCTTATTTTTTGTATTACAAAAGCTCACGTTTTAAGAAGATTAATCTGTAAATATATTTTGAATGACCTTATAATTATTGTATTACCTGGATTGCCTGGTTGGTTTCTCTTTTTCTTGATTTGTTGAGTAACTAATTGATGTTGAGGTGGATAGCAAAAGGCTCCATTAGTATCATTATTCATGTTGGAAGAAGAAGATAAACTTGCAGCAGCTTCTTCACAAGTTACAATGGACATGTTATGCTTGTTGACTCTTTTCTGCTTTAAAAAAAATAGAAAAATTAGAGAGATAATATAGATCTAATTAAGACAAAACAAATAAAAAACCTAGATATATAAAGCAAAAGTATAGTATAGTATAATATAGGTTGAACAAATAGAGCCAACATACATATAGAGGCAAAATTAAGTTGTTTGAACCTAAAAATTAGGTTCAATAATATTTGTTCTTGACTTTGGCATCAACAAAACAAACAAGGTGTTACTAGTTTTTTTCTCTTGCAACAAAAAATGAGAAGGAAAAGATTGAGTTTATGAGATGAGAGATGTGGATGAGAAGAGACTGTAATCCTCTCTCTCTCTCTTTCTCCCACACTCTCTATAAGGCTAACTTTCTGTCTTTTCTTTTGTTCTCTTCTCTACCCATAAATATCTCAATCTTTATTTATTCTACATGCATAGGTAGTATAATAATGTACTCCATCCCTCTCAATTTAAATGATATAGTTTAAATAACGCATAATACGTAAACATGACCCTTAA